AAGACATGGGGTGGGGGGGGAGAACATGGGAGAAAGAGAAAGACAGGGAGAGAAGGAAGAGAATATGGGGAAGAGGAAGACATGGGGAGGAGAAGAACATAAGAAGGGGAGGACATGGGGAGGAGGACAGCGGGTAGAGGAGGACACAAGAAGGAGGAGGTTACCAAGAGGAAGAGGACACAGGGAGGAGAAGGACATAGGGAAGGGAGGACACGGGGAGAAGGAAGAGGGCGTGGGGACGTAAGCTTAGGTCAGGAGCCCCTGAACTACCCTCACAGCAGGGAGTGTCCTCCTCCACACCCACAGGATAGGGAGGAGGTTCCACAGTAGAAAAGTAGCTGCTTCCACAGGGTGGACGGAAGCACTGCTTGGGAGGTAGGGCAGTGCCTCTCCAACTCTGCCTTTCTTCCTGGGTCCCTGGTTGGCTGCTTTCTTTTCCCAGGCTGCCCCAGTGCCCTAGGAAGGAGGGCCCTGTCCTGGAGAAGGAGACACATTTGCACTCACGGCCCCTGAAGCCCAGCCCCCGACCCCACCCCACCCCACCCCACCCCACCCCAGCACAGTAGCTTCTACCAGGTGCTGGGTCCCCATGCAGAGCCTACACCCTCAAAGAGATCTCCTCCTGCCTCACAAGAGCACACACACCCCTGTCCCAGGCCCAGCTATGCCAGGGCCATGCCGGGGGGCTGTCTCCAAAACTGTAAGACTCCCAAACATCAGCTAAAGCAATGGTCTGACCTGAGAAATCAGCCATGACCCAGAAGAGCTCCTGTTTCAAGCACAGCGCACACTTCACTCCTGTAGCTGGGCCGGGCTGGAGCCCTGAGCAGGTGAGCACTGGTGGGGGAGAGGGCTCAGGACTACCTTCCCTTCCCAGGATCCCTCCTCAGCCCCATCCCTGGTCCCCACCACCGCTGGCCTGGAGAAGACACCTGAGGAAAGCCAGAGGCCTGGGGGCGGGGAGTCTTCGCCACAGGCTATAGTCCACAGGCTATGTGGGGCAAGGTTTCCTCACCTGTGAAATGGGAAACCAAGGTCATGTCCCTTAGGGTTCCGGGAGGTTACAGGAAGCTAGTTGACAGGCGGTGCTCAGCAGGGGACGAGCAGGCTATGAGTTCCCTGGGGTAGCTGCTGCTGACATCAGCTTTGTCCAGCTAAGACCAGAGGACAGAGGAGTCCTCTCTCAGGTCACAGAGAGGGGTAAGGCCTCAAGGGAGGTGGTAGCTTCCGGGCCCTCCATATCCCTTGGCACCTTGGGCTCCATTTTAACAGATACCATGATTTTTAATTAGTTTTCTCTTCCCCTGGCTAAAAGGCCATTAGCTCCCCATTAGGTGAATGCATCCCATTTTCTTCACACCACCAAGGAAACAGTGATTTACTTAGCTATCCCTAAAGCAATTCTGCAGAATAAAGGCAATTTAGCAATGGGCTCAATAAACTTTCCCATTTGTTCCCTGTTTGCAGGCTCCACCCTTAGGAGCCCACCAGCCAGCCCATCCCCTGTAGCCTTGGTCAGGCTAGACTCTGTTGGGGGCCCCCAGAGGTCAGAGGGGCTTAGCAGGGATGCAGGCTAGGGTAGAGAAGAAAGAGGGCAGGGCCCAGGTGAGCTGGTGAAGCAGGACTTGTCTTCTACCAGACCCTGGCAAAAGAGAGGGAGGGGCCCAAAGAAAGTAAGAAGTAGGTGAGGCAGCCTTCCCAGCAGAGGCGGCTCTGACATCTGGTCCAGGCATAAGTGGCCTGCCCAGGCCACACTGCAGAGGCCTGGGCCTGGCATCCCGGAGAGGGAGCCTGCCAAGTCATGGCAAATCTTCCCTTCTTTGGTGCTGGAGAGTGAAAGTCCCAGAGGTCTGCAGGGAGAGAGGGCAGGTTCTTCCTTGAAGCCACAGGTGCTGAGCAAAATGGGACCCAAGAAGCCAGACCAGGAAGACAAGAGACTCGAGGCCTGCTGAGGGACTGTGGGAGTCAGGGAGATGGTGCTGGGTGAGGTGTCAGCCTGGCAGGGCCCAAGAGCTGGGACTCAAATTGCTGAGGGGCTGTATCTGTATTGAGCAGCAAAGTGCTAGAAACTCTTCTAAGAATAAGTCTGAGATGGAAGTTTCCCAGGTTCTAGGATTCCCTGGGACCACTGGGCCATGTCCATGAGTGTATGAGGGGGTGGATATGTGTGAGTGGCAAGGAAAGGGGCTGGGTTCCCTGGGGGAGGGTGGAGAATGGGGGGGGGGTCGAGCCTCATTCACTAGGGGGTGTGTGTGTGGCCACAGGGGTCATGATTACATACCCTTGACCAGGGGCAGGAGTGTGTCTTGTGATGACCAGTTATGAGTATGAGTGAGTGTGTGTGTGCATGTGTGTGTGTGAGAGAGAGATCGTGTGTGTGTGTGTGTGTGTGTGTGTATGAGAGCGAGACTGAGACCCTGTGTGTGTGTATGTGTGTGTGAGAGAGAGACCTTGTGTATGAGATAGAGACACTATGTGTGTTTGTGAGAGAGAGAGAGAGGGGAGATCCAGTATGTGTGAGAGAGGGAGAGAGACCCTGTGTGTGTGTGAGAGAGAGAGAAAGGCGGGGGGAGACCATGTGTGTGTGAGAGAGAGGGAGAGGGAGAGATTCTGTGTGTATGTGTGTGTGTGTGAGAGAGAGAGAGAGAGAGAGAGAGAGACCCTGTGTGTGTGTGTGTGTGTGTGTGTGTGCGCACGCGCTCATGTGCAAGCTCGCACCCACACATGGATGCCATGATGTGGGAGAAGTCTGTGTCGGTACCTTTTTCTGAAGGTGTATGTGGTCACACACTATGACAGTGTGCACACATGGAGCGGGACCAAGCTGCAGGCATCTGTTTATGTCCCATGGCCTTGCTCTAGACATCCTTGTCCCCCCTTCCTGGCCAGCTCTGAGGTAGCAGGGCTCCTTCCTCTGCACGCTCGTCTAGGCCCCTGCCTCTTCATCTGGGTCGCCTCTCTACTCCCCTCCTGTCAGTCCCCCAGCACAGAAGAGAGCCTTCTGCCTTGGGGGAATTGTCTGGCCAATCAGGGGACAGTCTCATCCTCTAGAGACCCAGAGCATCCATCCCCAGGGCAACAGGCCTGGCCACCAGAGCGCCGCATCCACAAGAGGGCGCCCAGAGGCTGAGCTGCTTTCAGCCTGGGTGGGTCCTGGAGCTGCCGCAGGGCTCACTAGTGATGGCCTGGTTCGGCTCAAGGAGAGCCAGGCTCAGCCGTTTCTCCGTGGCTGCTCCAAGCGACGGATGCCCCTGTGCCTCTCCCAGGGCCCCAGCTGTGTCCTCCTGGGGGCTGCAGAGCCATTTCCCCACTCTCAGCACCCACCAATCATGGTTTCTTGGTCATCCCAAGGGAAGGGTGGGCGGGGTGGGACGCTCACCTTCCCTGCTTGGAGAGCCTGTCTTTGGCCACCAAACTCTGTGGGCCAGGGGTGTGAAAAAGCCTGCATTCAGGCCAAGTGCCACAGGCTGACCCTTGCAGCCTGGGCTCCAAAGTCTAGCCCTTAAAGCCTCTCAGGCACCTCAACTCGGCTAGTGGCTGTGGGAGAGCATGGGGAAAGCCTCTACAGACAGTGGGGCTGGCACAGGCTGCCCAGCCAGCACTAGCTTCCGGCTCACACCTGACTACACACCCACAACTACAAAGTTACAACTCAGAGTTATAAGAGATCTTCAGAACATTCTGCTTGTGTTTACCTCTGTCCTGACTGCAGCCTCCTCGGGGTCTTCCCCCATGCAGCCCAGTGACCCCAGAGTTCTCTTACCAGAAACAGACCCCCTCCCCCTCATTCCTCCTCAGGGCAAGGGAAGGGCTTCTCCCCTGCCTTCCCCATGATGGACTGGGAACCCATTCTGGCTTCAGTATCTTTCCAGGGAAACCCAGGATTCAGCCACACAAATGAAGCCTTTGGGGTCGGTCTGTGAACCCAGAATCTGCAAGACCAGAGGCTAGAGGCAGGGGACCACTGCTTCTCCTGTTCCCAAAGGCCACAGAGAGAGAAGGCCCTTTGTAAGCAGTGGGAGAGGGCAGCTTTCCCTGTCGGAGAGAAACTTGGTGCATGCTGAAGGAGGATATCAAGTCAGGGCCAGTTCAAGGAAAACTAAAAGGCATGGCCAACGGGTCAAAGATTCTGCGGCCTTAGGCTTCATTCTGTCTGAGTTTGGGGCGGGGGTGGTGACCAGCCTTTGCAAGGCCACAGCCAATCTTCCCAGCACCGACGCTGGCCGAAGGCGGCACACAGCCCTGCACCACCGTAGGACAGTCAAAAGCGCTTGGCCAAGAGCGGTCTCCTGGTCGCAAAGGCCGCACCCTCGGGTAGCCTGGCGCACGACTCCAAAGCTGCCTGTTGGAACTCTGGCCGCGGCGGGCCCTCCCCCGGCTGCGCTGGGCCAGTCTGAACGGGCCCTCGAGGGCAGCCTCCCAGAAACCACGGGCTTTTCGGCTTTTTAAAGCCTAGGGTGGCAAAAGCGCAGGAGGGAAAAGCAACCTTTTATAAAACAGCAGGTGCCCTTCGCACCCCTGGGCGGGCCAGGGAATCCGAGCTGGAGAGGAATACACCGACATGGGACGAGGAAAGGAAACCAAGTTGAAACAATCTGCAGAGACAGAGCTGCCCGCTCAAGTCGCGGGCTTTCTCGGGCTACACCGCCCGGCCTCCCCGACCTGCGCCGAAACGGCAACAAGGTCCGTCCGGTTCGCTCCAGGACGCGGGCACGAGGCGCGACCCGGCTGGGACGCACCGCCGCGACTTAGGCCCTGGGCACGACCCCGGCCGCCCGGCCCACGACCCGTTCTGGCGGGAGACCCACCCAGCTCGGGCCTCGAAGCGCCGGGTCTGCCGCCCCACCTCGCTCCCGGCTCAGCCCGGGCAGCGGGCAACTGCGCAGACCGCTGCCCGCAGCCAAGAGAAAGGCGTTTCCGAGCGCGTCCGCTTCGCCGCTCGGCGCCAGGCGCCAACTTCGCCCCGGTCGCTGCGGGCACCGGCCCCCGGCAGGACTCACCTTCGCCGAACAGCGGCAGCAGCAGCAGCAACCGCAGCCCCGCCGCGCCGGCCGTCGCCGTCGCCGTCGCCTTCGCCATGGCCCGTGCGCGCCGGGGCCGCGGCAAGAGGGCTGCTGGCTGGGGCCCGGGTTTCGGCGGCAGGATGCGGTGCTTAGCCTGGCCGCCCCATGCCCGCCCGGGACGCGGGGGACGCGGAGGACACTGGGGGCGCAGAGCGTCGGGGCGCCGACTCCGGCTGCTCTCCTCTGCTGCGCGCCTAGCTCTGGTCGCGGGACTGAGGCGGGGCGCGCGCGGGCTGCGCCGCCGGAGCGGGCAGGGGCGGGGCGGGGCGGTGAGGGGGGCGTGCCGGGGGCGTGCCGGGCGGGGCCAGGGTGCGGGCGGGGTGCGGGGGTAAGGGCGGGGCTCGGGGTACCCGCGGTGGTGTGGGGGTGCTGGTGCGGATCCCGCCTCGCTCGGAGAGGAGACTGGTGTTGGACGCGGGACGCCGGTGGGGCCAGGTGCGAGTAGCAGCGAGGTGCAGGACGCGGGGTGCGCGGCTGCCACCCGCAGCCCCAGTTCGCGCACCCCCAGCTCGCCCAGCCACTCTTCCTCAGCCTGTGCGTCCGCTCGCGGTCCCGGCGCGTCGCCCTTTCTGTCTGCCCTGTGAGGGCTGGGAAACCACGCAGGGCTGCGGGGTCTGGGCCGACAGGCGAGGGGTGCGCCCCAGCGGACCGGGAAGCTAGGCGGGTGCCCCGCCTTCAGGCTCTCGGCGCGGGTCGCATCTTCCGCCATTTCTCAGAGGAGGGAGACGCGGTGGGAGCGCGGCCTCTCTTGGGGCCCAAGGCGGGAGGAGGGAAGAGTCTGGGTAAGGGAAGGGGAGTCTGAGCGCTTCCTGCGCACTCCAGGAGCGAGCCTGGCGCGTGGCTGGCAATGTCCGCGGCAGCGCTGAGAGACAGAGTGACATCTCCTGGGGCCAGTTTGTGATCCCCCTCACTTTAGGACCGGCCCAGCCGATGGGAGCAGGACACTGGCTCAGGCCTTGGAGGAGGCCTGGCACTGGAAACCTAATGGGGAGCTTGGACGGTGAGCGTCCTCCCTTCCCAAAAGGAAAACCCTTAGTATGTGGACTGAGTAGGAGAGCAATTAGCTGGAACTCCAAATAATGTAATTTTTTGGTCCAAATAAATGATGCCAATAAACACATCCAATCCAATAAAGGGGGAAACTGAGACTCCGGGCCCCTAACATAGGGGAACCTGGGATGAGGTTGGAGTTGGAGTTGGAGTCTAGGTCTCTGTGAGAAGAGGCCAACGTTCTCTCCCACCCCTCGCTGTCTTTTGAGGTCTGGCCTCCACTTAGGTGAGGAGGAATAGAAGCCCATGGAGCCCTGGGGTGGGAGGGTCCAGCACAGGAGGCCTGGGGTGCCCCTCCTTCAGCGTCTCTTTTTCCTGCTGTGCAGAGCCCCGCCCTCTTCAGGGCTGAATAAGAGATGAGCACATCCCTCTGCAGATATGAAGTCAAAGTGAAGTCACCCTGGTAGGCAGGAGATGCCGCCAAGACAGAAGCTGGCTGGGGGTTCTGCCAGCGGAGAGGTCCAGAGCAGGCCTGCTGGCAGGAGGCCAGGGCACAGCGCTGCCAGCTCAGGAGAGCCACCCTGCGGCCACCAGACCTTGTGCTGCTTCCCAGACACCACCAGGGCCCCGGCCCTTGGATTTATGAGGCTGGAGTTTGCCATGGGAGGGCTTCCTTGGGTGCAGACAAGCCCTACTTTCTGGTGCTAATAAGGCTGTACACTCGGGCCTCTGCCCAGGGAACAGACTTGAGTGGGAAGGAAGGGACTGAGGGGGACTTCTTCATTGCAAATCTCCCATGGAGGACAAAAGGAAGAGGGGTGGCCTGGCTCATTCTTCCAACCAGCCTCATCCCCACACCTCTCAGGGACCACCCTGGCCAGGCGGTGGCTGACACTGGACAGGCTGGATGTCTGGGTGTGCTCTGTGTGACCATCTCGAGAGCTGAGGTCGAGTCCTGCCTGGGCCCCCTCAGGTCCTTCCACCCTCTTTCCAGCACCACCTTTGAGGGTTTTGAGTGGACACCTGACAACATGGTAGGGGCGTTGCCCTCTTTTTAGAAGAAGTTCTGGGAGGCTTCACACATATACCTCTGACACATGTGCACACGCACACATGTACATGTGGGTATGTGCCTGTGTTCACAGACATGGACATTCCTACCCTTTTCTACTGCATGCCCAGGGACCTGGCCAAAGTGGCATCCAGCAGAGGGCAGAGGTGAAGACTTGGCCTTGCACACCTGAGAACTGCAGGGAGGGGAGTGACTCAGTCCTGTGGGGGCTTGGGCATTGGCTCACGCTCGCTAACAGCAGAGCAGCTGGAAGGATCTTCCTCACTCCGCAGAGAGGAAATAGATATGGCCTCCCTGAGGTCCCACAAGAGGAGGTCAGAGGCCAAGCTAAGGTAGAATTCAAATATGTCAGGTTGTTATCCTCAGGAAGTTCTTTTCACTTCTCTGTCCCAGGGCAGCCCTGGGACATTTGCCTGGAAGAGTCTACTGGAGGTTCCTGCTCCCTGTCTTGGCTTCTCCTAGTCATCTCTCTGTCAGCCTCAGTTTTCCTAACTGTAAGCATCCCCCTCTCAGAAGGAAGAGTGAGTACATATGAGGAGTACATAGGAGGATAGAAACTCAGTTCCACACACACAGTAGGTGCTCAATAAATCATGGCCATCATCTTGCCCAGGTTTAGGAGTTGCTCTTAGCATCCTTGCCCCGACAGACCACAGTGTTGAGGGACGTGGGCTCCCACAGGCACTGAAAGGCTCTCTGGGATGTGGGGAGCAGGTGCATTACAGTGTCATCAGTGCTCCCCACTGCTGCCCACAGACCCCCTTGGAGTATCACCAGAGCACCTTTCATCAATACACAGATCTGGACACCTGGGTGGCTCAGTTGTTAAGTGGCTGCCTTTGGCTCGGGTCATGATCCCAGGGTCCTGGGATTGAGCCCTGCATCGGGCTCCCTGCTCAGCGGGAAGCCTGCTTCTCCCTCTCTTCCTCCCCCTGCTTGTGTTCCCTCTCTCTCTGTGTCTCTCTCTATCAAATAAATAAATAAATAAAATCTTTAAAAACAAACAAACAAACGAAAAACATAGCTCCCCAAGTGCCCCAAGAAATTCAGACATGAGATTCTGCTTTGAAGTGAGTCAGACCTGAGTTTGTATTTTGCCATTTACAGTCATGTTACACTGCACAAATCACCCTACCCCTCTGAGCCTCAGTTTTGTCATGTGTAAAATGGGGGCTGTAGTAGTGTCCCCCACACGCCCTTGTCTGTGAGGAGTGAGTAGTGTCTGCAAGGCTCTGCCCCCAGCACGGGATAAGGTGCTTGGTGCACAGGCTGCTCATATGTTATCCCAGCTGCATGCTTGGCTTCTGAGCAGGTGAGACCTACCTGGAGCCCCTTGGGTCTGCCCCGAAACACAGCACAGGGAAGGGAAGGTGGAGGTCAAGCCCAGCATAGAGACAGATCCCAGCCAGCACAGGCTTGCTCCTTTGGTAGAGGGCAGGAGGCTCTGTGATCATGACCCAGGTGACTGTGGGGACTCAGGGATGTCCAGGGAGCTGAGAAGGCCAGGTCTTAGGAGTGGAGGCTGAGTATAGGGACAGGAAACCCTGGCCCCAGGGGGCCTTGTCAAGAAGGGGAAACAAAGACGGGAGCACTGCTCAGTCCTGGGGTCACTGAAAGACCAGGCAGCAGTTCCTGCAACTACTGACAGAGGCCTCTCAGGTCCTGACTGGGGGCCAGATGTGGTCAGAGTGAGCATGGGAGGAGGTCTCAGCCCCTCCTGCAGGCACGTGTTGCAGTGGCTGGAAGTGTAGACCGGGCCTGACCGTGTGTGCTTTTAGCTAACTGCTCAGGGCCTCAGTTTCCCTTCTGTAAATGGGGGTCATAATAGTACCTACCACTACATTCTGCAACCCCAGTGGAGTGTCAAGATGGAGGCAGTTCTGCTATCATGCCATGGTTTGCCCTTCTCTCGGCACAGCTGCAAGAAGAGCCAGTGCCTACCAGTGGGCTCTGAGGGGCCCCCCAGCAGGGCTCCCCACTCACCCACCTGGATGTCAAACATGCTATTGCCACATAGCACTCACAACACACCACAACTTGGCTGGTAGGACATGGTACAGGGACACTCCTCACCTTACTCTGTGCAGGTCCACCCACCTGCCTTACCCCCAGAGCTGGTGTTTGCAGACAGAGCCTCAGCCTGGCTGGTGAGAGGACCCTCCCTTGGACCTGACAAGGAGCAGATGCCTGAGGCCCGAGCCCAGGGCTCTGGGGCAGGAGCCGTGTACAGACACAGACCCCTTGTAACTCACCCCTACCCAGAGGGCCTGACCCCAGCTCACCCTATCATGGGCCCCCTCCACAGCTTTATTTTTTTCCTCTGAATTTCCTCCCACATTCCCTTCCCTTCTCTCCTCCCCTTCCCCTTCTCCGCTCCTCCCCACGCCATCCTCTCAAACCAATCCTCTTGCAATTCCTTTCACCTGGCACCACTGAACCGGGCTGGCTGCATCAGTGGGGCCCCAGGTCCTTCACCTGTGCCAGGAAGATAATAATAACATGGTAACTGCTTGCAGTGCAGTGAAGTTAAACCCACACGAAGCATTGACAGCCTCAGCACAGCTCCTGGCTTAGCAGGAAATGGACATTTTTTTTCTCGCTGTTCTTCCAGGGCTCCTCCGAAGTCTGGAGAGCCATCCTGGTGGTTGGCCGGGGGCACTGGCATGATGTGAAGGTTGCAGGTGGGCTCTGAGTTGTGTCCTTGTCTGTACGACCTTGGCATGTTCCCAGCAGCATGTAGCCAGCATCTCTGGACCCAAGCAGGAGAGCAGAGTTCCTTCTCCCGGAGGTGTCCGAGGACAAGTGAGTCCCCACACGATCAGTATGAGCTGTCATTGTACCATGGGTTCCGATCTGCTCTAGAAGCTGGGGCTGAGAGGCCAAAGAGGTCAGTGGACATGGAGAAGGTAGCACAGAAACAGGGGCTCCCTAAATCCGA